TTTTTTTTCCACAATGGCACTTGGTACATAGAGGAGGTAACCAAACGCTTGCCAGAAAGGAATTGTTAATCGCCTTTTTCGAAAAGTAATCGTGGCTAACGCTTGTTTGGTGAAGAAAGTGTCTGCGGGGTTGTGGCTGAAAGCAGATCAGACGAAAGTAATAAATGGCAACAAGTCTGTCATCGGGATTCGGTGGGCTTCTTGCACCGTTGGGTTTTCCGCAAGGTCGGAATTTTTCTCAAATTGACGTTATTTCTGTTCGACTGAACTGGTCGACCGCAGTTGGAGCAAAATTTAACTCCCTCGACCAGAAGGGTACCGCATTGTGAGCACATTGGAGGTAGCGGGGTTCCACAGCGCGAGCAAAACTTCTCTCCCGCAGTAACTTTGGCACCGCAGCTACCGCAAGTCAGCACAGTCTGGCTCGGCTGCGCTTGGTTTATTGAGGTTGAACGTCTGCGTCCTGTCGGTTTGGCAGGTGTGACACGGCACGCGGTCTGGTGACGTTCAATTCGGTCAGAAGCAAAAGTTCGACCGCAGGTTTTACACGCGACAAGACCATCATCATTATTAGTTGTTCGTTTAATGGTGCTTTTGGGAACGGAAGCTTTGCCTCCTAAAGGGGTGTGAAGGAGTTGAACCTCCACGTCGGGTCTACGCGCCTCGTAGGTGTGCCGACGAGCAGGTTTGGGCGAAGGTTTACAGTGTGCCTGGTGGACTTTAAGTCGATCGGATGCAAAATGACGACCGCATTTGGGACAGGTGGTGAGGGTTTTTGTTTGGGCGGCAACAGTGTTGTAAATCTCTAGGTTGGGATCTTCACCGGTGGTTTTGATCTGTCGGTTGTCTACGAAACCCACAGGTGTGCTAGCTGTAACTTGGGTGTCTGGAGCGTTGGAAAGATGATTAGCTGGCTTTATAGGCTCAGGGAGACGTTCAGAGGGTGGTAGCCTATTGTTAGCCTCGCGCCACCTTTTAAGACAATTCTTCTCATGGATGCCGATGGAGGCGGTGCCGAATTCACGTTGGCAAATGTAGCATACCACAGTTGGTGGTCGCGGCATTTTGCCGCTACTATAACTATTATAAGAGTTATCAAGTTAAGAGACTGTAGGATTGTCAGTTTCTGAAATAATTCACATTTACCGATTAAATCGCTTGTGGATCTTTACATTAGTAGCAACCAAATAAACAGAAGCATCTGGAGTATTTAAAAGTACGCAAACTACAAGTTTTTGTCTCCAGCTGGTACAGAGTGCGGAGTTTGACAATTATAGTAATTTAACATAAAACTTGCGATAGAAAAAGTACTGAGTTTAGAATTCCTTTATAATCCCTTAAAATCAATCAAAGTGACCAGATGAGAACTCTCATAAAATATCTAAAGTGGTGAGGTAGTGTTCGAGTGCCAATTTCAACCCATTCATCTCCACTGATCAGATAGAGCAGACATTCCCATTCGAACATAAGAAAACAGGTTAGTCCTGTAAGGTAGGAGCGAAATTCCGGAAGACGATGAAACAAAATAAAAACTGTTATCGTCAAAATTTCGAAATTGATAAAGCAGGTAAGACGAGCATTCCGGACCTACCACAATGAAATAATCAAAACTAAGATTCAGTGAGCTTATTGACCTTCTCTTGAAACCGATAGTTTTAAACCTAGTTTGTAAGACCCTACTCAGCCGTTTTAATGCCTTTCTTAATCAAAGTAAATCTGTTTAGTAAATCAAATAGATCTGAATACTTTCCACTTGGCCTATTTCAACAAGACTATCGAAGTGACATATAACCTCCACTATCCTCCTTAGTGTGTATATTAACCCGTTATCCGAAAGAACTAAACGACTTACGCTAACTCAACCCTCCGAAATGCGCGCAAACCTGGCAGCGTTAAGTTACTTTTCGTATCGATGGGTTAAAACTAGGTCTCACTAAACCAAAATTGATTATTATTATTATTATAGCTCAATTTTTTAAATTTTTAACGCACTGGACTATGGGATTACAATGCACGATTGTGTTATCGTACAATATTGATATAATGTGCAAGTTATACATGTTTTAGCTTTATTTTTTGTGTTACTATAAGATATTTGCTTATTTATTGATTTTAAACTTTATTTATGGTCACATAGACCCCGAAATTAATAAGAATGCATGACACTTCCATATCTTGTCCATTGATGAGGCACAGAGGACAAACCGCACAGCGAAGATGCAGTGGTTAATTAACTACTACTACTCTCTTATTTACTTAAGTTTCTGCTCTCCAGTGGTCATCCACTAGTGTCCGTCGTCTAGTTTTCATGCCTCAAATAGGGTTTATCGCTCACATTCTGTCTTGTCACACTAATATGGCTTTATTGCTGTCGAGGCTATCTAATGTTTTCAAGCAGTAATGGCAGGCACCTTGTTAACAGACCTCACCATATTGGTCACAACTAAGGTTTGCTAACTTAGATCATGGAGTCGTGGTAGTTGCCTAGCGCAGGCTTCACCTCAGGCATTTGGTTTAGGGTCATCACCGACCCTCTTAGCCTGAGTAAGTGCTTCTGCTCTGCATCCCTATGGGCTTTCATTCAAGGAAAAAGATTGGGAATGTTGCTATTTAAGGTTGACTTCTCCTCACCTTGATCCAAAAAAGGCAGGGTTAACCTAGTGAAGTAAAGACGGCAGAGCCTTATAGCGACGCGTTACAAAACCGGGAGTCAGATATTTAAAGTGCCGCATGCATTGGAAAAGTTGTCGAACAGAAGTTGAAGTCCTACGATTCCTTGGTCTGCTAAGGAATGACGGAGATCCCGTATCTACTTTTCTCCTTAATGGAACACTGTAACGTCCTGAAGTAGAAGGCCGAACGTGGGCGCCTTCAAGTACACATTGAATGGGTCTAATTAGACCTTATTTGCTTCTGAAATGCTCTTGGGAGACCTTATACTTATAATCAGGAGCATAGGCGCTATACCTTGAAAATCAAAGCACGCAACCAACAAACAGTCACGCCACACTTGCCATAACTTGTAAACGAATACCGGAACGCCGATCGAAAAACCTAAGGGTCATACATAGAGTATGGTAGTCGTGGTCTAAACCGAAAAAGCTTCTAATAAAGACATCCTGCCTATGATAACATTGAACCATAACACTCCATAAACTATCGAGTCTCATTAGGCTGAACAATTGTCCTCCCACACATTGTCACTATTATTTTCACTTTTATTAATTTGACTGATTACCAATTCGGTAAACACTTGAAACCCTGCAGAAGAATCCCAGATTAATTTAAACCAAGATCTTCGCCTGAAGAAAAAAAGACTTCACGAGGTGGTGATCGAATTCAGTTCGCTCTGCCTTTCTACAAAGGAAAATTTAAACAAGAAATATGTCCCAATTACAATGGAGTTGTAGCGAAGACGTCCTTCCCCAGTTAGTGAACCTCGCCTCCTACACG